GTCCGGGGTCACCCGCAGTGTTGCAGTGCCTGCCTGCAAGTCAACCACTTTCGTAGTTTGTGCTTCTTTTGAGATCTCGACCACCTCCAGAACGGTCTTGCCATCGCCAGCCAGGACCTGCGACCCTTTCTGGAGGTCACTCCCTTCGCGGAAGAAGTCCATGCGACTCTTGAAGATGGCATCCAGCATGAAGCAGTTCTGCTTCACGGAACAACCGAAGGACCCACTCAGGACGGAGGCACCATCTTCGTCCACGAGGCTGTACCCCAGTCGCTCGGCAAGATCCGCTTCCTCATCACCGAAGGCTGCGTCGTGGGGAGCCGGGCCACGAGGATGGAGGCTGGGATGATGATAGGACGCTTGCGTCTTCCTCTCGGCAAGCTGGCGAAGGCGCTCCTTGTACATGCCCCTCTCTTCCCAAAGAACCTCCAGCTGACCACGTGCTTCGGCAAGCTGCTGCTGGAGCTGCTCACACCGGTCCTGCAAGACTGCCTTGCTGCTTCCCGTCGCCAGCTGGACACCGTCCTGGGAGCCGCGACTCGCGTCTTGCTGCAGTCGCTGCACGTCCAACTGCTGCTCGGCGGCATGGAACTCGGCCTGCGCCAGAAGCTCCTTCGTCTTGGCATGCTCGGAAGCTTCTGCCTCCAAACGATTTGCAAGCTCCTGGCACCGCTCCTGGCACTTGCCGTGCTCGTCCCGCAACTGCCCGAGCTCCTGCCGCATCCCCGCCGCCGCCGACTCTGCACCTGTTGCGCGAGCTGCGAGCTCGTCGCACCGCTCCTTGCACTTGGCGCTCTCGATCTGCGCAGCTTGGAGCTCCACAGTCTTGCTGGACACCTCCGCCTCCGCCGCGGCCAGGCGATCGCGCAGATCTCGACACTCCTCCTCCTGCGACTTCTGGAGCTCCGCTTCCAGGCGTCGGCGCTCGGAGGTCTCCTCCTCGAGCTTCTGCCGCTTCCGCGCCGTCTCCTGGCTCTCGGCCTGCCCGAGCCGCTCCGCGAGCTCCCGGCAGCGATCGCGGATGTAGGGCGCCTGCAGGTACCAAGCCGCCCGTGGCTCCCGCTCCGCTGCTGAGCTGCACGGCGCTTCTCGCAGGAGCCCGGCCTCGGAGAAGTGCCAGTCGCACCACTCGTACTTGCCCCACTCGGCCGCGCCGTGCCGGAGCAGCACCTCGCGGAGCTCCTCCTGCCTCGTCTCCTGACCTGCGAGCTCTTTTGCGTAGAGCTCCCGGCACCGCTCGAGCCAGGCCTCGGCCTCCGCCGGCTGCGCGGCCCACAACTCCACCAGCCGATGGCTCACCGCCTCAAGAGCTCGGTCCGAAGGAGCATGACCTGGATCAAATCGAGCCAAGTTGAGGAAGGCGTCGGTGACCGTCGCCAGGGACCATCCGGCAGGGACTATAGTTAGGTCATAGAGATATTGTGCTTCGGGCTGCTGCGGCATGGCGGCGTGCCTCGGGAGCTGCGAGATGGGCACAAGGGGACCTCAGATTTGCCTTTGAGCTCTGCTTCGCCTGACGCCGAGCATGGAAAGCAAAACCGTGGCGCTCCTGAATCGATCTCTGAAACATGCCACACCCTCAACCCCAAAAAACTCAACCTACGACCAAAAAGACCCGAACCTGGAAATCCTAGACTCTCACCCCACAGGCACTCAAAAACAGCTTCGTGGGCCTCCGCCGGACCGCGGCCGCCTGAGCGGAGTGGGATCCAACAGAGTCTTCTTTGAGAGTTTCGCGCGTGGTTGTGTATAAGATTTTTACAGCGGAGTTTTTTCACAGGCTAAAGGGTCGTTTGGGATTCAGGGCTTCAGGGCTGCAGATGCGTAGGGCTCCCGGAGGGAATAAATCCAAGTACCTCCAGGCCCCAGATCAAAAATCAATCGACACAACTGCAGCCTGAACCGTCCCACAGCCCGAACTGCCCAGAAAACCCCACAACTCAACCCAGAAGCGACCCTTCAAACCTTTGAATTCCCCAAAGCCCCACAACCTCGCACCCTAGACCCCAAAACCTGCACCCCAAACCTGCGGCTGGGCCCCCTGGCCCACAACGGCGCCATCGCAATGCAAGGCGAGCACCGCCAGAACTACGAGCTGAGAAAAAGCCTCAGAGCTCAACAAACTCCCGGGGGGTTCTTCTGAGCTCTCTCGGCGTTTAGCCCGGGGTTTTGGGGGTAGGGGGTTGGTGGTAGGTGCTGATCTCAAGACTACGGCTCGGAGCTTCGTCGGATCTGAGGTCCCTGAATCTGCCGCGATGCAGGATTTGAGGGAGAATGCCGGGCTTCAGCAGTTTAGGAGTCAGGGAGTAAGGGGGGGTGGGGGGGGGCGGGCGGGCTTTGGGTCTTCTGTTCGGCCTCGAAGCTCCTTGAGAGGTCGAGTCGAGGGTGAGTTTAGGGTCCAGGTGTAGATGTTGCAGGTACTGTACGCGAGCGTTCAGGGTTTGAGGTCTACTTCGAGTTCAGTTGTTGCGGAGAGCAGGGTTGAGGACTCCCAGCTTCCTTGGGGAATCCTTCTGAAAAGATGTCTTTCCTGAACCGCTAGAGGAGAGATCGATTTCGGGCTTCGATCAGTGGTTTGTCCTGGACTTCTATGAGTTCCTACCAACCGCTTCTAAGGAACTGAGTGGAGAGGAGAGTTACAAGCAGCCCCTTTCCTGCGCAACCTGCCGGATGTTGGCTTTGAAGAAGTGTCCTCTTACTCACACGTGCCTGCCAGTCTTTAATTGCAACAGGTCACCAAAAAAAGCCAAGGAGGCTAGGTTCTCAGAATCAGCTGAAGTCGGGAACCGTAACCCTGAAAACCTCCTGAAGCCGGAAGCGAATCCCCAACTGAGGCAGTGGCCCTCATGTCTACATCGGCTGACAGATCTTGAGCCGCAGCAAGGCTGTGACGTCCCCATTCTCTCACGGCTGCAGGCTTTTGGCTTGAGGGTTTGGGGTTGTGCCTTCAGCGCCATGGGTTTGGACGACCCAAAGCACCCAAGACTTCAAAGCAACGCCCCGGCTTACTCGGAAGTGCCGATGCCTGCACCTTCGAAGTGTACAGTGCTGCAGACTTTGGGGTAATTTGGATAACGGAAAGGGAGAGCATGAGCAGTTTTGAGCTCTGGGTGCGCATCTTTAGCCTCCGGCCCGAACCCGAAGCCGCGAACGATGCTGCAAGTCCAAAAGCCTCCTCGTCCCAGCCCCAACCAAGAAGAAGCCGCCTCGGAAGCTTAAGCCGTCCGTAGCCGAAAGCACTAGCTCCTCATCCTTATACTCTCCAAAACACTTAGAGTTTAGGGTTTACAGTTAAACCATCAAAGCACCCTTTAACACCCGTATTAAAAGAATGAGACGGACGCTGTTTTGCTGACTGCAAGCGGCACGTGCTCTCTCCGAGCCGCGGATCCACAGCGCCAAAGGGGGGACAGGAGCTGGGGGGCAATTGAGGCAACCTCAACCCTAAACCCTAAACCCTAAACCCAAAGTTCCTGCAGGAGTTTCTGGGTTTTGGTTTGGCGTTTTCGAGTTTGGGGCTTGGGATTAGCTCTGGGCTTTGGGGGTTTGGAGCTTTACGGGTTTAGGGATTTAGAGCCTTAGGGCTTTAGAGGTTTAGGGATTTAGAGGTTTCTATAGGGATTTAGGAGTTCAGGGGTTCAGGGCCGAGCTCAAGAGGCTAAGGGTTGCACATCATCCGGCCGGCCTCACTGCGCTGCTTCAGCAACCTGGCCCGTGGGCTTTTGAGGCGCCGTCGGAAGAGGCTTCTGGTTCGTAGGGTTTGGGGCTTTGGGGCTTTGGGCCTTTGGGGTTGCAGGGGTTTCGCGGCTTTGGGGTTTTTAGGATTTTGGGATTTTGGCGTTTAGGGGTTTTGGATCTTAGGGGCTTGATGGTTGTTTGTTTGGGCTTTGGGGCTTGGGATCAGCGGCTAGTTGAGGGCTCTTGACTAACAGTTCAGCAGGGCTTACGGCTTCAGGGCTTCAGGGATTTCAAGCTTCGGGTTCAGGAGGTGGAGATCAGGAATGCTGGTGAGGAAGATCGCGATGAAGATGACCATGTCGGATGATTCGGTGACTACATGATCACTGCACCTTTGCTAGTTTAGCCTCATCGTCGCTGTGCTGCGAAGAGATGTCGCAACTGGTCACACACTGTTCCTACGCTTGTTCCAGTCATTGACATGCGTGCTTAGATCCTTCAAGGTTGCCTTTTGCAACTGTCCGTGCTTTCAGATTGTCAGCTAGTGGCCCTATAGGTTTAGCGCCGACGGGCTAAGGGTTAGGCTTCGGCCTTACGACTACCGGTACGTGAACCGTGGAGAACTGGACCTCCTTTTCCGTGGCACACGCTGAGGGCGGTCCCTCAGGACGACCTTCAACCGTTTCAACTCAAGCCTACACGCTACGCGTCGGCACACCTTGCCGGCCCAGCGCAGGGTCAGAGCACTCCAAATTTTTGGGTTTAAGGGCTTCAGGCTACCCCCAAAACATCTCAAGTCTTCCCGTGGAAAACGGGATTCTATCTGAACGCTTGGTAGCCTCCCCTATCCGCCGAACCATCAATTTCTTTTGGCCGCTATTGCCTGAATCTCCAAAACTCACACACCCTAAGCCCTAAACCCCATACCCTCAACCCGAAACCCTAAACCCTAGTAACCCTAGTAACCCTAAACCCTATATACTCTAAACCCTAGACCCTAAACCCTAAAGCCTATACCCCAAACCCCAGCCCCTGGGCCGAAACTCCTTGAACAACCATGACGCCCTTGAAAACGAGGCCGGCAGAGCATGACCGCAGGGGTCCGGGGGGAACTTGAACGCTCTGTGGTCCATCCTCCCCAGTCACCTTCAAAGGGCCCTTGAGAGCCCTAGGCCCTAAACCCTAAACCCTAAACCCTAAACCCAAAGGGCCCCGGAGCCCTAGACTCCTAAAGCTGCAGCGCAGCAATGGAAACCAAGAGTCACTCCAGCAACCCGCTGGAAGAGCCCCATGGCAAAAGGCTCAGGGTACTTCTCACCACGCCCCCCCCAAAAAATTGCTTTGCGCCAACCAAAGTAGTGCCGAAGAACACTTCTTGGTGGGTGGATAGGTTGCTGCTGCCTGACATCTACAACCATACGGTTTAGGGTTTAGGGGGCTAGGCTGCAAGCACCCTGGACCTCCAAAAAAGCGAGCAGCGGCGTCCGAAGCACGCCTTCACTCGTCTCGGACGCCGTGCTGGAAGATCGGAGCTACCCAGGAGGCCCCGGCGTCCGCGGTTTAAGGTTCAAGGCTTCGGCTTCCGAATTTAGGGCTTTCTTGGATCTAGGGTTTAGGGTTTAGGTTTTAGGATGTAAGGTCTCTGAAGAATTGGCTGAGGGCTTCGACTTCAGCGCTGAGAACCTGGTGCTTCACTAGGAATCTTGATGGGGCTTCAAAGCCCATGCCCCCAAACCCCAAACCCTAGACCTCAAGCCCGGAGAAACCTAAACTCAGAATGCCAAGCCCCGAAGCATCCCCCCATCCCCCCACCCCCCCCCCCCGTAAGCTTCAGAGAAGTCGGAGCAGAGATGGGTTTAGTAGTGGTGGACTTCGTGCAGGAAGGGTTGAGGGTTTAGAGTGTAGCATTTAGGGATGCCCTTAGGGTATAGGGCATGGGGTAAAAATCCGATGTTCTCAGAGTTCAGGTTTTGCTTCAGGGTTGAACACCTGGAGCTCTTTTTGAAGGAACGTTATCCATCGGCCAGGACTTTCATACCCTAGAATTCTATGCCCCTCAGCTAGATATGGGTGGGTCGGAAATAGCGGTGATGGTACCCCCTTAAACCCCGAGATAACTATACTAGACTCTACTAGACTAAGATTAACCCCAATAAGCCTTGTTATTTCAAGCATCAAGGCCCTGTCAACGGAGTCGGGATTCGCGGTTAAGGGCTGCGTTTGTGGGCTCGGGGACGGCTGAGAATCGACGCGCGGGTCGCGGCCAGCTCCCAAAACTGGTGTGCACCGTGTCCCTTCGGGAAGGATGCAGGGAAGCTCCAGCAGATCCGGATCAAGCACCGCCCGAGATGAGAGCCCTGCTACTCTCCGAAGGCTCAAGACACCGAAGAGCTCCGGCTAATGTAGGGGCCTTAAAAATTAGAAGTTTCGGGGGCTCCTTATTTTTATGGTATCTCCTAAACTTCCAAAACCCTAAACCCTAAACCCCAATATAGTATGCTCTACCCCCAAGACCCTCTTCTAATAATTAAGGCCCCTATTTTAATAAGCCCTCACAACATCAGGCTGCAGGAAGAGCTGGGGCAGCTTCCAGCTTCAGATGCATTGGGGGTCTCAGGCTACTGAGATACAACTATAGCAGGGTTTAGGGTTTAGGCTTTAGGGTTTAAGGTTTAGGGTTTAGGAGTTTAGGGTTTAGGCTTTAGGGTTTAGGGTTTAGGGTTTATCAAGACATGCACCAAGTTGGGGCATATTTCCGGCATAACACAACTCAGCATCTCTCTCTGTTGGGCGGCTGGGGATGGGAACCCCGTCGTCCCGGACTGCGGAACATCTGGGTCACTTCAGCTCGCAGGGGGCATCCCGGCCACGGACACGAGGTTGATGCAGTAGCCTCGGCAGGAGTTGTGTGGGTGGTCGTCAAAATTATGGTCCCGTTTTGGGTCCTTATCCCCAAAAGGGACCATAATTTTGACAACTACCCATGTGTGCGTCTATGTGAACATCCAGCGTTGAAAAGCAAATACACCTACTACCCATGACGGCCACTTCCTGCCGGCCAGCGGCGGTTTCCCTTGGAGTCGGGCAAGTTGTGGCCAAGGTGGGTGCCATCCACGCTCACCTTACGGTCCGTTTCTTTCGGTTCTCCTCTGTGTTTGGGGCTCAGTGTCGGAGGGCCAAAGTGCTGCGGTTTAGGGAGTTCTCGGGCTTATAGGGTTTAGAGGTTTTGCTTTTTTTCAGTGTGGTGGGCCTTTCGCACTTTTTTACGGCTGCCATGCGCACGAGAGTTTGCGAACATGCCTTTGTAAACAAGTCCTTTTCGCACTTTAGGGGTTAGGGCTGTTGGGTTTAGGGTTTTTTTGGAGTCTTTGGTTTCTGGCTCGAAGGATGTAGGGCTGTTGCTTCAAACCTACAAGCTCCTCATAAAGCCCACAAGAACCAAAAAAAATCCCAGAGCCAGAAGCTCTCAAGGTCCTTTTGATGACAAGGGCCTTAAGCCCTAAAGGCTTTGGGCTGTTGGGTATAGTTGGGTTTGTTCGGGCAAGTATTATACTTCGTAATTAGGCTCCCATCTTTCAAAAAGCAAAAAAAACCCTAAACATCCTAAAACCCCAACCCTTCTGCGGGCTCGCGACGACCTCGCCGTCCGGAAGCACTCGGACGTTCTCCTGGACGACTTCCTGCGGGCACCGGAACTCTACCAGCCGGAACCACTCCAACTCGAACATCAAGTGGGGCTTGTTCGAAACAAGGCTTCCTGTCGGGGACTGTAGTTCTATCAAAATACTGGTACTATGGGGATTTCAAAGAGAACCAAAAGCTGCAATGCTCGCTAGGCTGCTGCTGGAATTGGCACCTGAACAGGTCTTCAACAGACTCTTGAAATAGCCTACCCAGCAGAAACGCCAAACCTTACACCCCACACCCCAAAACCCAAAAAGCACACTGCAAGGAGGAAGCCCTCCTCATCGCGGAAGGAGGGCCAGCCATGCGCGCTGCTCTCCTGGTGGGGAGAGTGCGACAACGAGTTGAAGCCCTACACCCTCAACCCTAGATCCTAAACCCTAAACCTCGACCACACCGAAGATGCAACGCAGAACCATAGCCTACACCTTGCCGCTGGCTCCTGTTGCATCAGCCCCTAAATCCTAGAACCTGCAACGACAAAACTGCGGAAATGATTCTTTTGAGAGTTTGAGGTATGAGCCAAAGGAACGTCACAACTCAATCCTCAAGTCACAAACCAAAACTAGCTGGAGCCTCGAGGGTTGATAGTCCCACTACCATCGCAGCATGCTTGAAAGCACAATAAGATTTCGCTGCTTTCTCACCACATCTACTACGGTACGTAATGGCAGCGCTTGCTGCCGCTATGATCTGTGTTTCAATACATCCTTCATTGGTCATCACGGTCCTCAACTATCGCCCGCTACCGTTTCAAGAGCCATCACATGGAAAACCCGCTGAATTCGCCTCTCCTGCGCCTGCAGGCAGAAACCCCGAATCCGGAACCCCAAACCGAAACTGAAGAAGACAACATAGAACGGGAGAAACTCCACAAAAGTCTCGGAAAGCTTAAGAGCACATAAACAGAAGATCAGAGAAACCCCCCTCGCGGCTCCCGGTCGAAGTCGCCCCAATTCCGGCTCTTTGGTGCAATAAACAGGGGCTTGCCTGGTGTAACAAGCTGGGTTTTGGGATTGGGTTCGGGGTTCAGGAGAGGATTGTGGCCTTCTCGGACAGCTTCTTGCGGGCTTCTGAAAGGAATCCAGCGGAAGGCTTCCGGAAGCTTCCTAAACCCCCCAACCCCAAAATACCCCCAAGCCCCGAACCCCCTGAATACCCCTAAACTCCTAAACCCTGAGTCCCATGGTTTTGGGGCTTTACCGGTCTGGTCCTGGGGCTTTCACAGAACTGGAGATCTCTCAAGGCTTGCGAAGCTGAGAAGGGGGAGCTCCAGGACTAACTGAACGTCCCATTGAGGCTTGAAGCGGCTAAGGGTTTGGATAAAAGTTTAGGAGGTTTAGGG